GCTGCGTCTGCACCATGTCATCTTCAAATAATAAATATAAAATTAAGTGAGAACAAGACCTTAGGAACAAAGAATTGTGAGACAGGCCTGAGGAGACACCAGGACTGGACAGAGTCACCCCCCTCCCTTCTCTACCTTGAGAACATTTCCCTCTCCCTGTGTGGAAGGGGGTAGGGCCGTCAGCTTCTGCACAGCAGGAGCACCTCAGTGCCTCAAGTCCCTGGGACCAGCCTCACCACCAAGACCTAAGCTGCCACTGTCTGGACCTCCCTGCAGAGAAGGGCAGGTCACGCCCCATTCTTTCCAGGTGCGTCCTGACTGCCCAGCACCAGCAGGTGGCGCTGTTCCCGGACACCCCGCAGCTTCCCCCACGGACTACCAACTACCAAAAAGAGAGGGGTTCCCACACCACCCTCAGATGCCCTCGTGGCCACAGCCTCGGGAGTCCATTCCCGACGCCGTGGTCAATGGGTAGAAAATGTAAACGCCGTGAAACCATGAAAAGGAAACCGTGCTCACACAGCTCACACGTGCCCAGGAATGGGAGCCAGAGAATACTTTTCCCCCTTGAATCTTTACGCACACGCTGCCTAATTTTGTACAAAACTCTGGCCACAACTTTGAAAGGCTCCATCGTGATATCCTCCGAAGTAGCAATCTTTAGGGTCAGCCTAGGCTAAGGTTTCTGAAGGAAGTGTGACCTCATTTGAGGACTGGTCTCTGGGGAAACCGAGTGGACACATTCTCGTGGCCAGAGGCGAAGACGGAGACCTCCGGGGTCCGGGTCCTCCCCACCCCGGTACTGGCGCCATCGGCAGGCAGACCACCGGGACTGTGCCCTATCACCAGGTCCGGCCTCAGGCGATACCTCAGGGCATCGGACGGGAATGCTTGGGCAGCCTCCCTGGGCACCTGGAGAGCTAGAGCTGACCCAGGTGGGCACTCCCCAACAGTTACCAGGTTCAGCTCACAGTAGGTACTCAGCTCATGAATTTTGTAAGGAAAATGCTGAACTGGAGATGAAGTACATGGAAGAAAGGTTTTCCACACGTGGGCTTTCCTATTTCTATGACGCCCACCATTCAAAGAACTTTCCGCCTGCACCAGGTTGCCAGGGGGCTGACTCGGGTGGGGGGTAGAGGGTGGGAGAGAACACAGACGTCTCCTGAGGTCAAACAACTGCGCTGGCAGGCCAGCGCACAGTGTGCTTTTCCTTCCTTAACAACTCGGAAAGTGACAACTGGCTACACAGACTGAGCCCCCCTCTGGGATTTTACCTGAAGGACAGAATTAGTGTCTTAGAAATGAGAAGAACCTCCCTCACAGAAAACACTCTCATGGGCTTCTCTCTCCCCTTTTCCTGAGCTCGCTGGACAGATTTCTCAGTCCAGTTCCGACTCCAGGAATCAGAACCGTAGCCAGAAACAGGTGAATGAGTGCCGGTGAGCCGCTGGCATGTAATACTCACCTGGGCCTCGGGGGGGCCCCCTTCATCTCTAATCAGCAGCAGGTAGCTCTGTCCATCAACAACAATCTCTTTCTTGAATCTGCCACCTGCCACATACACAAAAAACCTCGTTATGCAAGAAAGAGCGAGCGTGCAGAGGGCAGACAGACGTGGGCTTCGCTTGTGGAAAAATACACTCTAGGCTGCCGCCCTGGAGGCAACTCTGAGCCTTTAGGAGTGGGTTTCGGATCTGCCTCCAGCAACCACTGGGTTTTGAACGAACTGAGCTCAGATTTAAGTGTTTGTCTTAAAGAACCCGCGTTCATGTCTGTCGGAACGCACAGCCTCACGTGCCAGGCCAGGAGGACTCGCGGCTGCGGAGGGTGGAATTTAAGTGCAGGCTTTGTGCGTAAATCCAGGGATTCCCGCTTGCTGGGGACACTGAGGCACAGAGTTCAGAAGAGAGCACTACAGCTGTCCTTATCTTGTTCAGTTTGCCAAACAAACGAATCTATGAGGCCTCCCAGGCTCCTTGTGTACAACATGCTGACAAATTTGGGGGCTGAGAACCTGTATTCTCCTCAAGAGAAACCCAGTTCTTGGTGGGAACACAGAACATCATGGGGATGGTGCTTCCGCAGTCACAGTTCACGGTGGGGGAGCCGACTACTACACACGGTTAGACAGCAGCTACTGATGGCAGCTCCGCACAGCAGACAGCAGAGCAGCGGCGACAGAGGGTTAGGACACGCGGGGTTAGTGAGAGCCACCAGGAACCCCTGCTGGACGGGGGGAGGGGGGGCACACAGAGGTGGCAAGGGCTGTCTAGACATCTGAGCCTCTCAAATGCCCAGGTGGGGGGCACGCCACTGCCACCAGCGTCTCCCAGTACCACCCCGGACTGGGCTGCCAGGCGCCCCTGGAGAGCGGGAGAGACCGCCACTCTGGGTCCCTGACCCCTCTGCACCTCCAAAGACGAACCGCCTTCTGAGACTCTGAGCCGAGTTCACTCCAGGTGACCCTCGCCGGGTTCTGGATTCTGTTTCTGAGCGAGGAACCCATCAGTCCTGCTCCGCGTGCAGTTCCTTCCAGAAACTTCATCGAAACCCCAGGTAACCGCACGCTGGAGAGCCAGCTGGCAGGACCTCCCACCGACCCAGCGCCCGCACGCCGGGTCCTCTGCTGCCCGAGCCACATTTCGCTCCACCAGTGGCCCAACGAGGGTCCTCCCACCCCAGCGTCCAGGGCCTGTGGGGGTCTGGGGCACTCCAGCACTCGAGAAGCCGGCGGAACTGACGTTCTGCGCCAGCACACGTGCACCCACTCCCACACACCTCGGGGGGCACCAACATGACAGGGAAAACACACTTGCTTTACGGGGGTCAGTTGCTCAATAAGAAAAACCGAAGACAACTTCCCAGCATTCAGAGGAAACACAGTATCTCAGGCTGCTCTCCGTCACTGTCATCCAACAAGGGCCGTCTGCGCAGAGGAGCCAGAATAAGGCATGTCTGAGGGGGTGGAGCAGACCGTCCGCCCCTGGATGCAGACCAGCACCTGCGCTGCCCGCTGCAGGAGGGTCTGCAGTGACCAACCGCCCCCAAATCGCTGGCTCCTCGGGGAAAAGGAGATAGCACGCCCTCCTGGCGAGGCTGCTGGTACAGGACAGAAGCCCCCACCCCACACTCCCCCTTCTACACCCCGGCGGCACAGCCACGGGACCCTGACGCAGGACCAGCTCTACAAGGACCCTGGTGCTGCCCACTCCTAGCTCCTGGGCTTCTAGCCTCCAGAACTGAGGACACACTTATGTTTCAGCGCCCCCAGCGGGTGATACTCGTTACAGCAGCCCCGGGAAACTAATACATCCTCCGATTGGTTACAAGTTTCTGCTCTCTCTCTATGCATTCACCCAGGATGCTCTCTCGCTCGCTTGCTCTTCTCCTCTCCTTCTGTCTCTCTCCCCCTGCACCCCCCGCCCCTTATACTTGCTATGGTCTCTGGCTTTGCAACCTTCGGCCAAGAACTTCAGGCCTAATTTTCATCGCTTCTGTAAGGAGAGGCCATTCTTTTTGACATCTGTAAGGCCCCTTCCAATTTTAAAATCACCTCTTCACCCCCCCCCCCAAGATACAGTGTATCTTTTCAATATTTTACACTCTCAAGCATCAGCCACTTGCAATTGGCTTGTATAATTTTTTCAGGTATTATACTAGTATGTGCATCAACAAAACCAAAATGAAATACTCATACCCATTTGCCATGAACCCAAAAGTTCAGTAATTAGATAGAAGTCAGCCAGGAGCTTCAGCACCCAGGTTGGGAGGAAGTGAGAATGTGACCAGTAAAAGTTACAAACGTGTCAAGTGAGACTGCAGCGGGCTCACCCAACAGTGGCAGCTGGCCGCTGGAGAAACATGGTCTTACTGGTGAGTGGAAGAATTTAAAATTCGTTTTCTGCAGCTGACCTCATAACTGGGGGAAAGCCTCAGGGAAAAGGGGGCAGGCGCCAGGCTGGTCCTCCACTCAAGCCCTGCGTCTCACCCCAGCCAACCAATTACTTTCTACCAACGTCTTAGAGGGCACCACCCGACTCGACACCCAGTTTCATTTTTAAGGCAGATCTGACAACTGCCTGTTTTATAACCCAAATTCGTTCCCTTCCTGCAGGCTCTTTCACCCAACTTTGTATTCCCAGCATATGAGGTGCAGCCTGGCCCAGGGCCCACCCTATAAGTGCTCCGTAATGGTGTTCCACCTGCTCTGACGGCCACATACCATTACCATTAAGTGCCTTCAAGGATAATCTTATGTCAGAAAGTGTCCCTGACCTCCGCTCCAGAAGACATCGACACGTCTGGCTCACACACCTGCGTACAGGTGCGCAGGGAGCGAGGCAGCAGGGGCAAGCACAGGGCTCTGTCCCGGTGATGACATCTCGATGAGGAGGGACAAGGGAGGCCCCCTTTCACTTAGATCTGTTCCTGCCAAAGGCGTGGTGAGGTCACCGGCGGTCAGCAGGCAAAGTGCTGGACAGAACCGAGCGACGCTGGGCTGGATGGCCCTGCGCTGCACTGACAGCGGAAGCGACTCGCTGGCCTCCCTGAGAACAGTGCACCCTGGTCTGAACTCCACCTCACGCTCAGTGCATCACCTTTCTGCTTCACCCGAAGGCAGGTCGTTGGGGTTCCCTGACAACTGCCCTGGTCACTGTGGATGCCCTTGAGCTCGCCTTCGACGTGAGCCACAGTCTTCATTTCTTCCCCAGGTGGGTGAGAGGTCAAACTGGACATACCTACCAAGAAGGGGCTGCGGACAAACATGTGTTGTGACCAGCACACAGGAAGGGTAGAAACATCTTTTAGAAAGACTTAAATTAAGGGTGTCCCTTCTAATCGACCGTAACCAATTACCCTGAAGTTTCAAGGTTACTGTCCCGATTCCTGGCCTTGGGCCTGGGAACCAGCGTGGGGTTTGGGAGGCTGGAGTTAAGGGAATGGCTGGGTTCCCAGCCCCCGGGAGCTCGGCGTAGACGGGCAGAGCTACATGGAGCCCCGTATGCACGGGCGTCTGCACAGAGAGGCATCGGCGCCCCATCTGTGTTGTCGTTCTGCTTTAAGGGGGGAAGGAGCAGACGGAATTTTCCTGTTCCAAAGAGGGGGAAAAAGCTTAAACACTGCCACAGATGTTTGACATTTCTGCTTCTATCATTTTGGCTAATTGGACTGAAAGCTATTAACGTATCATTAACGTTCTGCATGCAACAGAGACGGATGTGGTAACAGCGAGCCTTCGCTAGTTTGCATTTCTTCCCCGTCACCTCCACTCTTCCTCACTCTGGTGATGCCGTGGCCACCATCACCACCCAGATCGACCATGAAGATCCGTGGGACACCGGCCGAGGCCCCGGGCCAGCTCGCAGCAGGGAAGGCCCAGGTCCACCCGTGCTGCCGCCTGCCTGCGTCTCTCCTGAGCATTTCTGCACAGCACAGCACGGTGCCACGGAGCCCACAGCCTGCCTGTGGCTGCCCAGTGCCCAGAGGGGGACATCGAGAACGCAGGCCCATCCTGTCCTTTCTCCACTCACAGCCCAGCAGGGGGCTGACTGTCTCCAGCTCCCAACTCATCCTTGTGCATAGGGAAGTATAAAGAAATTCACCCGCCTGTCACTTTATTTCACTTTTTTTAACGATTCAACTTTACTTTTCCATGCAAAAACAAAGAACGAAAATTTGCCTTGCGTTTCAAACTCTAGTACTATTTCCCTTTTCCATAAACAGTGGGAGGAGCATTCTTCTAGCTTCTGATCAGATGTGGTCAACCAGCCTCGATCCTTCCCTCAGGTGCAAACAGGCCTCAGGTCGCCGGGCTCTGGTACTGGGTCTCCTACCTCACAGGTTAGATTCCCGTCCACGAAAACATTTTCAACATTTGCCTAAAATTTTCTTCTTCCTGACTCAGCCCCATGATGAAATAGAAAAAATGCCTGCAAAATATATTGCTTCTTAATTGTTTAAGACAAGTGGAATGAGAAGGCTACATTGAAAAAAGCCAAGAATCTTTTTCATTTCTCTTTAAGAGAATATAAAAAATCTTAATTACAAATGTGCCAGAAATTTTTTTAAATGAATTTTACTCTTTCTGCTTTGACAAATATACTCAAGTCAGTAACTTACTAACATTGAGATTTTGGAGACAGTTTGTATGGTGACATTTAAAAGAAATGTTGGACCACATGTTATTTTCACCCTGGGGACAAATTTTATCGGTAACATTTCAGTTTGTAAAATTTAACTGAATCAGATTTCATTTCCTCTGCCAATTTTTTTTTAAAAACTTACACTGATTTTTTTTAAGTTACTCTATAATCTATACTAACAGGAGGGCCTAATGTGTGGTGACTGCTATGTGCTGCCGTGGTGCCACTCGGGCTGTGTCTGTGGTGACGTGGGGACTTCCTGAGCAGGCCAGGGTCTCCGGGACTTCATTTAACCCACATCTAAGTAACCTAAGAAAGGAGATGGGGAAAAAGAAAAAAATGAAAGGAAGACACTGCACCGTCCACCAGGAAAGGGGTGTGGCTTCCCAAATAACCCTGCTGCCTCCG